ATTTTTTGTATTACTATATTTAAAATGTCTAAACTTTTGAATATATGCTTTCACATCTTTTTCAGCTTTTTATTTTATCATTTTTTTATCAGTATAACTGACAATACCAAGATAATCTTGAATCTTGCTTATATCTTCTTTCAGATATAAAAGCAAATGATATTTTTCTCTAAATAAAAATTCTTCTAATGATTTATCAATAAGATCTTCTCTATATCAATGTAATGTATAAAAGATTAAGTAGCCACTAATTTCAAGATCCTTCTCTATCGATATAATTTTCTCCACTAAAGTAAACAATAATTACTTATATAATTAAGTATTTTCACTTTCTTGCTTTGATTTAATGCTGTTTAGTTTGCATTGTTATTAATATCAAGTTTCTTTTAGCTAAGCGTTCCTGAATAACTAATACATTCATCTTCTTGTACAAAAGTACTTCATATAATTGATTTTCAAGTATTTCACTTTGAACAAATTTATTATTAGTATTACTTGTCATGATTGTATTTATCTCTAGCTAATATATATTCAAATTTATGTCTAAAATACGGATCATCAGCCCAGAGCAGTGATCTTTAGTTCAGAAGAATTTGCTAAGCCAAAAATTATGCAACAAAAAATAAGTAGATCATCAGACAAGTTATGCAACATATTAATTTTCATATATCGAAAAAGTGTTATATATGCTATCTAATACCTCTATTTTTTTTTCCAAACAAATGTGAGTAAAATAAAAACAAACGTATACTTGCAATATAGAACTAACTCTAAAAGTAAATAATAATAATAAAAGTATATGTTGTGAAAGGTTAAGAACTCTGCAATTCTGAGATTGTTAAGCATAAAATTAACTATGATCTTACTGAATAGATCTACATGTAAAAAGGTTTAAAAATTTCATTCTTATGTACTTTTATAAAACTCTTGGCATCATATAATATTGTTAATCATGACTTATATCTTTTTAACTTTTTTTTAACAAGATATAAAGCATGTAGTGGTATATAAAAGTTTGACCAACTTTTTTACAAAATTTTAAGATAATATATTTTATTGTATATTTTTAGAAAAAAATGTTTCAAAGGATTATTACATCTATATAAATGAATTTTATTCACTATGGATATTTACATTTAAAAAAAGCAAAATGCCAGAAATCAGGCTTAATTATTTTGTTGTTCTTAACAATTCAGTTAGAAGAATTATACAACAACATATTATTACAATCAAAATTAATAATAAAGAATCTGTCTATTCTCTCAGATCACAAATTAAAAAAGAACATACTTCTCAATTTGATAATATTCCAATTACTGAATTTGAAGTTTGTGCAATTCTCTTAAATTTAGATAAAGTGCTAATATCAATTAATACTAAAGGAGTAATAATAAGCATGAATAGTGGGAGATAGGATAAAAGATAAGTGCTAATTTCAATGTTCAATATTCTTGATCATTTTTCTAAGCAACCTTCTGAAAAAGATATTCATATTATAATTTATTTAGATATTAAAACACCTCAATAGTGAAATTTAATAGCAATATAATTGCAATTTTTATGTATTGTAGATTAAGTTCTACTGACATTTTTTTATTATTTAAATAAAGCATATATTATATTCTTGTCATAAATCTTGAAAAATGTTATGTGTAATGATATAATATAATCACTTGATAATCCTGTACTATATATTAATTGCATATATATTGAACAAATGCATTATGAATTGATACAAAAAATCTATTATTTCTCTTTGAGCGTTAGAAACTAAAATACTTTTATATTTATAAATTAATTTCCACTAGAATAATGTTAAACGTAATTAAAAATTTAAATACAGAGAGTCTTCTTGAAACTTGATGAAGATAATATTAAAATACTTCACAAAGAGAAAATTGCTGACCTAAACTTTCTTAATACAACTAAAGAAAAGTTTTAAAGTTATGGTATGAAAGCTAGTCTTGCAAAAAGTCTTATAGAATTTATTGAGAGTCTCAACTAGAAATTATGAAACTATTCCTTATATAAAACTCTTAATAACTTGAAGATTATATTGTGTAAAAATAAGATTAATAGAAAAGATATAACGAATATCAAGCAATTTACTCCTGATGAGTGTTACTAAGGAAAAATTACGTAATCAAGATTAGTTATACTTAAGTAAGTCTAACATGCGTTTTTATAACTGAAAAATTTGATTTTGATGCATTTTATTTTTTAGAATCTAGTGTAACTTAAAAGTGTGTTCCAAATAAATAAGAAAAAATAAACTTCAGATCAAGCATTTAATGAAGATTACATTAACTATTATTATGGCATTATAACCACAAGGATAGAATGGTATTTTATAATATATACTCTGGATGGTATATTGTATAAGTGACAGTAAGTACCTGATTAATCTTATAAAGTCCACTATCAAATAATCCTAAATTACTCTAAAGCAATGTGAAAAGGATAATTGGTATAATTGTTAGATCATATTAATGTAGATAGTTCTCTAGTTAGAAAAAGGATTAGAATCAAAAATTATCAAAAAATAATATGTATTATAGGCAAAGTCCTGAATATTTGTATTTATTTTTTCATATGTATTAATAAAAAATTTTCTTGGTAAAATTTTACCAACAGGCCGTTAGGAAAAACAATTGATTTTATTATTGAATATTTATTATCACTATCTAAACTAAATTCTAAAGAGAATAAAAAGACTAATTTACTATCTAGTATTTAAAATTTTAATGTTTACTATTTATATGATGTCTATAATTCAAGTCATAGATATATTCTTTCTGAAAAAGATTACACTAATAATTTTTCTTTAGAATAATTTTATCAATTTTACCAATTAATCCTTTAATTTTTTCTTCTCTATCTTTAATAATATTATTTATATCATTTTTTATGGAATCAAAGATCTCTTTCAATAACTTCATTAATTATAGCTTTTTAATCTTTGGATAAGAATTCCTTATTTTCATAAGATGTTGATTCATCAACTGATATCTGTAATAAAGTAAAAAGTTACTGTTAAATTTTGAAATCATATAAATTATCATTATTATCACTAAAATAATATTACCTTTATTTTTTTCACTTCATTTTTACCCTTCTTGATTTGAAATTTGATGTTTTGTATTTTTGATAACTCTTTAGCTAATTTGATAATTTTCTTTGCTAGTCCTAGATCTAAAGCACTTTTAAGAGATTTGACATCACCAGAGATTTAAAGAACTTGATAGGCATAACTAATCAAAATTTTCAAATATTGATTTATATATTATGTGAGAAAATTTTTTTGCAATACTATTATTCTGAATCACGTAAGTGATCAAATAATTATTTTGTATGATCTAAAAGTTAGACAAATAAATGGGGCTAACTCAAATATTACATAGGCTATTCATTCATATATATTTAACTATAGTAAAATGTAACAATATTTTATGTTTAATGCATTAGATTGAAATATTGATCATAAAAAAAAATTAAAATGTGATAATAATGAAATATGAAACTTTACAAATATATGATTTTTTCTAAAATATTACTTTTTGTATCTTTTAAAAAAATGGATCAGTTATTTGAAATACTTTAAAACTATATAAACACTTAAAAATAATATATAATAAAAGAAGAAAAAACATTTATATATTTTTTTTTTGAAATCTTAAAAAAGTATGTAAAATTTTTTTGTCAAATAGTAAAATAAAACTAAAAACAAAACAACCAGTGGTCCAGTTTGAATAAAAAAAAGTTTGTATATATAGAGCTAATATTAACAAACTTAACTTCTTAGATAAGCTGCTTTCTTATGTATATATATTGAAAAAATTAATTTTTAATATGAAATTTCGTTTGTGTAACCAATTTTAGCACTAATGAAGCATATCGGACTTAAACCTGATTGGTTGATTTTTAAAATGATCGTTACATATTAAATTCATATAAAAAAGATGATCATCAATCTTTAAATGAATTAGCAGCCACAGTGATAATTTCGCAAGGGTTGCAATAAAAAAATTTCTAAAGTATACCTTCTGTTTTATAAACTGTCAAAGTAATTTGATAAAAAGCAAGGTAATTCAGAACTTAGCTAAAAAGGGTTTCTTTACAATATGTTATTTTATATGTATATATAGAAAGAGAGAGAAAAAGATTGAAATTTGAATTAATGTATTGGTATATATTTTAAGATTTATTTTATTTATTTACACAAATAAAAGAGAAGATTGGATTATTTATAGTAAATAATAGATAATGTACTACTATTCTTTCATGTTTTAACTTTATTGATTTAAATTTTTTAAACCAAATAACCTGTAATTTAGATAAATATCTAAATGTATTTTATATTAATATAATTTAATAAAAAAATATTTTAATACATGTTAAAGATAATTTGGTCCTTTTTACATAATATTTTCACATAATTATTAATGATCAGACTAAATTTTTTATTAGAACGAATAGTCACATGAATGGTTATTGGCCAATCATATTAGTGTATAATTAGCCAATCACAGAAAAAGCCCGCTATGCTTATCTAACCCCTAGATATTACGTAATATTGATGTAAATTTATACTCACGTGTATGATTTTTCGCGATTCATCATGTGATCATGACTATAATTATGCGACAATCGATTTTATTCTCATCATACGTTACCGCTTAATCGGGTATGTTGAGTAATTTCCTTCTCTTAATGAAAGATGGTTTCTGTTTAGCAAAAAGGAAGCGCCTGCGACAGAGGGAGACTGTCGGAAGCCAGCAATGGCGAGTCACCGTGCAGGGGTGGCCGGCTGACTTTATTGCACAGAAGTTACTGGGTTGTTAAGCAGATAAGGCGCCTGCGACAGAGGGAGACTGTCGGAAGCCAGCAATGGCGAGTCACCGTGCAGGGGTGGCCGGCCTTATTTGAAGAACAACTTACTTTAACATTATCTTATTGCGTTTTTTTCGACAAGAAATTAATTTTTTTTATTCGTTAGCAAAATGGGAAAAAGATCTCCACATACCAATATATCTCTACAAGAACGTAATATTAACTGGATGTTAACTTGCTCCGATCCAACCCCGCTTGCATTTTTTCAACACGTATTTCCAACACATCGCGGCCAAGCAACTGCAAAATATCGTAAAATACTCGATCTGGCTTTGAAAGAATCGCATGATTCTGAAGTGTTGAGTAAGCTCAGAAGAATGAAAAGGACGGCGGATGTATGTAATTGAATAGGATTCTTATATCATACCGTAAAAAACTTCTAACTCTGTTCTTTTCTGATAGGAAGCAAGGTTACTACTTGACTGGGAGACATGGATGCAACAGAAGGCAGCGGTATGTTCAGTTGCTGACTTTTAGATATTTTGATTTAACATTGACAAAATCTTATACAGATTTTAGTTCGCCGTTCTGTTCGTAGTACAAATCTTCACATCCATGAGGAAATAAATTCTTTTGCGCAAATAAGGTAAGTCATACTCTCTATAAACAATTAAAATTTGCAGTTGCTTATTCATTTTGTATCATTTGTAGACTTCTCAATTTTCTTCTGAAAGCGGTAAAGATGAAGTCATATTATTTTTTAACTATCTAATCTAAAATTTTTATCTGAGCACAAACTTACTAAATTGTACTTTAGAGAACTCAAGAAAGAGAAAAATTGGTAATCAATCAGGTGGCGAACTTCATGATGATTATGAAAGTGAAAGTGACGCTTTGTCCAATGTACATATATATCAATAAAAATAATTAAGATGTGTTATTATTTACTACCGGTTCACTTATTCACTTAATGATATTCCTATATCTATTATGTAGGGTTCGGATGAAGAAACCAGTGAGTCCGAAGATGATGATATTGAAGATAATAGTGAAGTTCATGGAAATAAAAATGGTGGTGAAAGCGAAGATGTTGAAGAGGATAATCGTGTCAAAATTGACAAGAATGAATTCGTCCAGGCGTTTGAGAAAATACCGGAATCATCAAAATTAAAATTAATAAGTTCTGGAAAAGTGGTCGAAAATGTACTTTTTAATTACATAAAGGATAATGATTACGAACAGTTAAATATTCTTAACATTTGATTGCTTTTCTATAATTCATAATACTAATACTATATATATTTTAGTCTCGCCCATTCCTATATAATAGATTGTGATGATCAAAAGATCAAAGAATTATTCAATGACGAAGAATGGATGGAATTAACCAAAGACCATTTAGGCATTCCCCAAGTTCCATTAGATATTGCTAGCGAAATTGCAAAGTATGGGAATAAAACCTTGAAACTACTACGTGAAGTCGTAATGAAATCTTATCTTCCAAGTAATGTTTCTTATGATAATGATCAACACAGCGATTTAGAATGGATCCAGATGGCGATAAGAACCATTGTACACTCCCCGGTCAAAAGTATTGGACCACGTGATTTTCGTTATACTAATTGGCGTAATTTTTGCCGATTATAAC